CATCTGCTCAAGCCTTGGATTATAAAATAGGTCTAAGAGCATGGGAGGAGGAGTTACATCACGAGATGATCACCCGTATAACTCATTTTGCAGTTCTCAGACCAGGTTGCAAGGATTCAATAGTCTGGGCAGCTTTTAATTCTGGCGAATTTTTCATTAAATCCCTCTATTATATTTTCGAGTCTTCTTTGAATCTTCCATCATTTCCAGCAATGAGAATGTGGAAATCTGTCGTTCCTCCCAAAATTAAAGCATTTGGTTAGTTGACCTGGTGGAACCGAATTGCCACGTCTGATTATCTTTTCTCTAGAAGCATTATCCCTACTTCTTATCCATGTGCCTTTTGTGAACTTGAGGCTGAAACCCCTAATCATCTTCTTCTGCTTTGTCCATTCATGGAAGGTTTGGTCTGACATTCTGAATTGGTGCGGATTAACTTGGATCTCCCTTGGTTTGATACCTGATCTTCTTACATGGTGGTATAGTTTTAAGTCCAATCATCTTGGCAGAATCATCTGGGATGCACTCCCATTAGCAGTCCTTTGGTCCCTCTGGATTGCACGTAACCAAAAGATATTCAATCATAAAGTTCTTGTCTAGATTGAGCTTGTGGAACTTATAAAGATTCGAGCTACAATTTGGGTGAAAGAAGCTCCCAACATCACAAATTATACAATCAATGATTTCATCTTCTCTTTCCAAGGCTTGAAATCTGCTAGAGTTCACCCCTCAAAGCTTTGATATTTCCTCTTTTTCTTTTGTGTTATTTTTTTTTTGTTCAAGTTGGGCTCTCACCAACTTTTGGTTTGTCTTTGATCTCGGTATGCACATAATTGGGCTCTAAAATATGTGCCAACCTAGTTGGGATATATCTTTTAGCTATGATGCATTTTTTACTAGATCTTGTACCCTTTCTATCTTTAATAAAATTTTCTTTGCTGATTAAAAATATATATATATATATATATATCCCAATGTAAACAAACTCATCCCACAAACTCAAACAAACTCAAAATTACAAAAATTAGATATTAGTGATGAATTATTATCCTTTTGGGACCAAATTTTTTGTCTAAAAAAAAAATGTATTTATTTTAGACCAATTCAAAACTTTGTCACTAAATTTAAGTATTCATGCAAAATACGCCACACCACAAATAAATCATGAATTTCTTTTGTAAAATCTGACTATGAGAAGGGTTTTGAAAAATTAATGATTGATAGGGTTTCAAAAAATTAGGGAAAATAAAGAGAACAAAAAAGAAAAAAAAAAACATGAACAGAAACATTGTGAGAGAGAGAGAGAGAGAGAGAGAGAGAGAGAGGATTTGTACCTCAAATTGTTTTTAGGGAGAGTTGAAGATGCTCTGGAAAAAGGGGATGATGAGGGCCCTAGTGGGTGAGACATTGTAGAATAAGAAGAGTATGAGAAAGAAGAGTAAGGAAAATCAAAGAGAAAAAGTGAGAAAGAGAGAGATAGATAGAGACAGACAGAGGCTTGAAAAAATATACTACGATGACGGTGGCGAGGCGAAGATGAACGGTGGTGAGGTGAAGATGGACGGTGGCTTTGACAGTGGAGAGGCGATGACAATGGACGACAGCGTTGATGGTGATGAGGCGAGGTGAGTGGCACGATTGAGAGGGTATGATTGATTAGGTGCGTTTTTGTGAAATATTATAAGGGTTTGAATATGTTTTCCCCTACAACAGTGTTGGTCGGTTATTTGTCACTCTATGCATTTAAAAAGAAAAATGACGTCGTTTTGATATCTGTGACTAAATTGCATTAGTCTCTAAAAGATTTTAGTGTCTTGCCCAGTTTTTCACCCTTCCACTTATATTTTTGGCAACTAATATTTCAAATTGGTCTCAAAAAATCACTTTTATGCAACTAAATTACTTTAGTTGGTAAAAGTATGAACTTTAGCCTCTTTTTTTTTTCCTAGTAGACAAATGTGATTTTTTTGCGACCAAAACTTTTTTAGTCGGCAAAAGTGTAATTTCCTGTAGTGATGGATTAAAACAAAAAAAGGATAAATAAAATGGAACGGAGTGAGTATGAATTATGCTTTGTTTTGGTTTAAGGATTTAACTAATTTTTGAAAACATTACCAACACATATGATTACATTGCATTTGATATAGTTTAAAAAATCATATCAAGAAAGTGACCCATATGTACCTTTTTTTTTTTTATCAGCAAAAGATAAACTTTATTGATGGAAGAAGATTTACAAACGAAAAAACTTATAACAATAAAGAAGGGAGATGCAACAAGCATCATAACTACACTTCACAATCTCAACTAGGTTGACACCAAGAAGGTAGCACAATCATATACCAACACTACACCTAAGATTGGTGAGGATCCAATCAATAGACTAAAGAAAACAACAAACAAAGAAAAACAAAGAACAATTAGCTGCTGTTTACCCTTGCCTAAAAAAACTATTAATACTCAATCTAGCCCAACTTCACTGTGCTCCTATTTTATTGAACAATGTTGGTAATGCTACCACGTTTATTAAAAATTTTACTAAGGCTTTGGGTGAATAAAATTTTACTAAGGTTGGGTTCACAATCATTTAGGCTTAGTTTAGAAACATGTTATTTTAGTAATTTTTTGACTTTTAAATTAAAATATGAGATGCTTGGAATAATTTTTTAGCATTATATGAAAAAATGTGCAAAAAGTAAAGAAATAAATTTTTTGACTTTTTAGTATAGGTTGTTGGTCTTTTAATTTTTTTTTAGTAATTTTTTTGACTTTTAAACCAAAAGATTGAGTTGCGAAACGAGATCTTAGTATGAATTTCACACAAAAAGCTAGCAAAATTATTAGTAATAATGCTAATAATTTTCTATTTTATTATACAAGCTTTATTATAGGAGCTCACTTCTCTTTTCTCTTATCAATAATGTTAGAAATTATGAAAGAAATATTATGAAAAGTTTTCATGAAAATTATTCACCCTTATATTAGTTTGTAATATTTTATTATGGCCTTATTTGTCATAATATAAAAAAGTCAAAAAAATAAAAAGTCACTATCCTATTTAAGTCACATAATCTTATTGAAGGCACATCACTTCTCTATCACATTACTTCAAACCCAATTCATACATAATTCATATTTTATAAAAAGTCAAAAAGTACACTAATTTAGATCATTTCAAACCACCCCTATATGTTATGCAATCACCATTAGATTAGTTTTATAAAAGTTTTCATAATACTAATATCATGATACGTAACATTTTTTTTTTGATCGGCAAAAAAAAGACTTTATTGATGGAATAAACAAGTACAAGGTACCAAGCAAATTACATCAATAAATAAAAGGAAAGTGCAAAAGTATCACAATGAGCTAAATCATCCCAACTAGGTTGGCACCAAAAAGCTCATTCTATCATTTGCTAGCACCCCCAGAGTTGGCGAGAGACCAACGAGAAGACAGACGAACCAAATCAGCCACTCATCTCACAACCAATGATCCTTTAGCCAATCAAACATCATAGACTCAATTAAGCTTGAACAACAAAACAAGGCCTCATCACAGCAGGATGAATACATTTGAGCAACCAACACAACATCTCATTAGCTAGAACTTATGCATAGCAGTCAAGCATCAAGCAGCCAAACTCCAAAAAAGGGCAGCAAACTCTCCAAGTTAGCAACCAGAGACAGAGCAGACTCAGTTAAGCCAGAACAACACACATTTAAGCAACATTAAGCGTTGAGACTAAACAACAAAAATCCTCCAGCTATTAGACCAACTCTATAAACAAACCAATCCCATGCAAACTCAGGGCCATAAACAGACCAGCTCCAGATCAAACAAATTAACAGACCAGCAAAACAATGATTGTTTAGCCACAAAATAGATCAACCCACTATCTTACAGAGTAAAGCAGACCAACAGACTAGTATAACGGAACATACAGACTTAATTACAACCCTTAATATTCCTCCAATTGAAAACTACATCACTGACTGAAAATGGAAAGTCCTTGATAGAGACATTGAGCCAAAAAGCTAACCTGACTTTGATTAGTTCCCACAGATCATAATTTCTTGGATGGCTAGCATGGAAGGGTAGAATCAAGTTATCAGATTTTTTTACAGAGGATTGGTGTAATTAGTGAGGATATTAGTACTCTCTGTGTTTTGTAACTCTAAAGGTGAATCTTTGAATCATGTGATGCTGTGGTGCCCAGTGGTGTAGAGATTATGGTCAAATATTTTAAAATGGTGGGGTTTTTAGTGGGTAATGTCTGGATCAGTTGAGGGGTTGCTGTGTTGGTGGGCTGGGTTTAAGTTTAAGAACTTTTATTGGATGTTGTGGAAATCTATTCTTAGTACCCTTATGTGGTCCTTATGGAAAGCAAGAAATGACTGTGTATTTAATGGGATTTAGCCTCATCTGGATGAGTTATGCGATTTAATCAAAGTTAGGATTATCTTGTGGTCGAAACCTCACTATCCCAGGTGTGAGTACACAATTCATGAACTTGTTAACAATTTGCAGCAGATCAGAAGCTTTGCTTTATGACTTGACGTGATGTTACTGCTGTTTAGGTTGAGATGCTACTGCTTTTGATGTGTTTGTTGCTGCTAATGCAGTTGCATTGGATGCTATTTTTTGGGGTGTTTGCTAGATGGAGTTCATAGTTACATGGGCTTGTTTTTTTGTCATTGGTTGGGCCTCAGGAATGCTTGGTTGTAATTGTTGGTGATTGCATTTGTTTGTTGCTTGTGTTTTGCTTGTTTTTATTTTGCTCTTTATGTTGGTTACTCACCAACTTGGAGCTTGGAACTTAGAGCTTGTGCTTGCAAATGATTTTGTGTGTGCGCATTTTGGTACTAATCGAATTGGGATCTTGATATTTTATTATGATACTTTTTACACTCTCCTTTTTATTGATGTATTTTATCACACTCTATATATTTTTTTCGTCAATAAAACTTTCTTTTTACTGATCAAAGAAATAAAATATATATACATAGGAAAATCACTACTTTAAATGTTATTAATTTTAAGAAAAAAGGGTCCACCAACTAACCATATCACACATTGATATCACAATTTGGTGTATACATGGTCCCCAAGGTTAGGACTAGCAAAAGCTAACATTAGAATTCACACACCTCTCCTTCCAGAGTCAGACTTGGTCAACGATTTGAGTCTCACTAGAAACTTGACCTTCCTCTCCCAAGTTGACCCCTCATTCTTCTTCTTCTTCCCTCCAAGCCTCCACTCCGAATCCTCCCAATTCGCCGGCGATAAAACCATCACCTTCCGATAACCACTCTCCACCGTCTTCCCCACCACATCATCATACTCGTGTCTACTGTTGTTGAAGTCCACATCAGCACCCAAAATCTTGGCTTGCATTGCTGATATCACCGCCTTGATTGCCACGTCAGCATCCAGTCTGTTCCGCAACAAGATCTCTCCGATCTGAGCTGGCGTGAGGGCCCCGCCCGACCTTATACAACTCTCCGCCACGTCAAACATCACATGGGACTCCACACCCAGGTAGTTCATCACCAAGGCCTTGAACGCATGCACTCCACACGTGCCGAGACTAACGTGCACGTCCATGCGTCCGCATCTAATGAGCGCCGGGTCGACATTGTCTCTATGGTTGGTAGTGAAAACTATGATTCTTTCTTCTCCACAACAAGACCACAGTCCATCAGTGAAGTTCAAAAGCCCCGATAATGTCACCCGCGGGTTATCATCACAGTCACCGTCGACACACCGAGTCCTGTTCAACAACCTATCACCAGTCAAGTCCAGAGAACAATCAATGTCTTCAATCACAATGATTGATCGATTCGTAGTCTGAACAAGCAAAGATCTGAGCTCTGAGTTGTCTGAAACTTTGGTGAGCTCAAGGTCATACACGTCGTAGCATAGAAGGTTAGCCATGGCAGCAATGAGGCTCGATTTACCGGTTCCGGGTGCGCCATGCAACAAATACCCACGCTTCCATGCACGTCCGATTCTGTGATAGAATTCTTTTCCTTGGGAAAATACTCTTAGGTCCTCTGTGATTTGTGTTTTTAAGTCAGGCTCGAGCGCAAGCGTGTTAAAATTGGAAGGGTGGCGGAAGGGGACGGAGACCCATTGGTGCCCATTGTTGGTGAAGAGTCGCCGTTCTCGGGACCCACGCTCGAACTCCTCGGCACGTGAGGACACGTGCCGGAGGTAGGGGAGGAGGAGGGAGAGGTGGTGGCGCTTGGGGATTTTTAGGGTGAAGTTTCGCTTTTCGTCGAGGGAGTCTTGGACGGTGTCGACGTGGTGGATCCAGGAGAGTTGGTGGTCGAGGAAGGAGTCCGGGACGGTGTGGTTGGGGGGGATGGTGAAGGAAATGCAGGTGGAGGATTTGGAGAGGGAGAGGGCGAGGCGGCGACAAGTGGTGGTGGTGGTGGTGGTGGCAGTGATGATGGAGTTGAGGTAGAGGTTGACGTGGCGGTAGAGGTCGTTGGGGTCGAGGGTGGAGTGGTCGTTGAATTCGGGGATTTCGAAGTAGGAGTAAGGGGTGAGGAGGTCTTGGAGGGATTCATAGAAGGAGTTTAAGAGGGAGAGGAGTTGGGAGGGTAAGATGTTTTGGAGGAGTGTGAGGAGGCCTAAGAGAGACCACATTTGTGACAATATTTCCATTTTTGTTGTTGCTAAATTGTGATTTTGTCTGTGTCTATGTGATTGAGGATTTTTATATATAAGAGAGAGAAGAGAAAGAAAGAGAGAAGGTGGTGAGTGATGGTGAGGGTTGTTTTTTGGAATTTGGAGATGATGAATATAATTTTGAGTTGAGAATAATAAAGAGAGCTAATAAAGTCACTGTTTGATAAAGTTAAAGCTGACTGATGTGTTTTGTTGCATGAAATGGAATTTCAAGCCCATGGAGGCTGGTAAAAGAGAGAGATGTGTTGATATGTCTTGATTTGGACATATTATACGTTCATATGATCATCAGACACACAAGATTGGCTTTTGCTTTTGGTAATTGCCTTTGTTTGCTTCTTCTTTTGTTTCATATGCAGCTTTAACTTTTTTTTTTATGCTGTTGGTTGTGATATTGGGTTGGGTCTTTTTAGGTGTAAGAGAATGCTCTTCGAATAATCTATCCATCATAAACCCATCACGAGATGATTACATGATTCTCCTCCTAATGGATTATTTGGCACAACTTGTTTATAATTTTTTATTTATTTTAAGAATATGTTAATTCGGCAATGTTAGGAATCATGAAAAATTTTTCATGAAAATAATCATAAAAGTTTTGTGACTCTTGAATTATATTTAGAACAAAACACCACACACTAATCAAGGTAATTCAAGGATCATATATCTTTCATGATTATTTTCATGAAATTTTTTTCATAATCCCTAACTTTTCTCATGTTAATTTGTTTGGTATAATTTTTACTTATAATTTATTAATTAAATTAAAAAAATTAATTTCTAAAAACTGTATAAAAGATATTTTTAACTCCTATTTTAAATAATCAATTTTTAAGTACTGAAAAATACCTACTCATGTTTTCTACGTCTATATATATAATGACAATTCTGTAATACTCACATTCTTTTGAGTGCCTATCACGTGCATTCCTCAATTACAATATGATATGCTTGAAGTAATAAATTGATGTAATGACAATTCAATAATGTGTCCACTGTCTTTTTTTTTTTTTTTTGAGTGCATATCAGGTACATTCTCAATAAATTGCTTGAAGTTATAAATTGATTAGTGTCAGTTTCACATTAAGCAAGTACACACCCTATAGTATTCATGAATGAATGGCTTTAACTTTTGGCACCATTCATATCCAAGATGCTAAAATGGTTTAACTAGATGATTCACTCACTCATCATCAAGTGGGTGAAAGTTTGAAGCACCAATAATGCTGCTAGGTTTTTCTTTTCTCTATTGATCAAAATTTATAAATTATATATTTATTTTAATATTTAATTATATATTATTTAAGGTTAAGATATTTATTTTTCTGTTTATTTAGATTGTTCTATTTAATTTATTTTCTTGTTTGACAATAATTAATATTCTCTTTTAAATATTCTTGACTTTATTTAGATTGTCTATTTAATTTATTTTCTTGTTTGACAATAATTAATATTTTCCTTTTAAATATTCTTGACTTGCAGAATATATATATATATATATATATATTTTAGATTTCTCGATTAGCAAGAATATATTTTAGTATAAATAAAGATGTAAGGCTTAGGCAATAGGAGTGAAGTTTATATTTCATATAAATCGAAAGTTTTATAAATGGTTTGATCTTAGAGAGAATCTCTAATTTGGATTTGTTCGGATTCGATTTCGTTATTTACTTGTCCTTCTGATATGCTTCCCTACACTTGATCACTGGCCCATTCGTTCAGAGGAGCACACAATGCTGGTTGATATGCCGCTGTTTTTTTTTTTTTTTTTGATCGGCAAAAAAAGGAACCTTTATAGATGGAAAATCATACAAGATATGAGATTACATCAAATAAAGGGAAGGAATTTGGTGAGGAACCAAACCCGAAAGGAAAAAACAGAAGAACAAAAACACAGACAAAGAACCAAAAACAGAACAAAAACTAAACAAGGCAAGCACACAAGCTGGCATAGCAGACCAACAGAAGCAACCAATGAAACAAACAGACCATCAGCCCACAAATTCCAGCACAAAACAGATTAACAGCCCACATAGCAGAGCACCATCTACCCAAATTAACAACCCACAAGCACTCCACCTTATATCAGTTCAGTCTGTACTTTTGCAACCACATTACAGACCACCAGCAGTTGTGCACTCCACATGACAGCAATTCCGCCTATACTTCAGGTTAGCTACTGACACTGATGATCCTTCTCACATCACAAACACCAACACAAAGATTCCAAGAGATCAGCAAGCTATTAACAACCCATCAGCACTCCACCTTATATACAACATTTCACCAGCAGATAGACCACCGCAGACAGACCATACCAAAAATAGAACCTTTCATGCTCGTAATGGACCATTCCTCACAGCAGTAATGCAACAGCAATACTTCCATCAACCTCACTGAACCTTTCATGCCAGTTAAGACAGAGCAGAAATGAGACAAAACACAGAAAAATCAGAGCAGCTAAGACAAAGCAACCGGCCTGGCTAGACCAGCAGTACACATCGCAGGTCAGCTACCATTCCTGAGGCAGAATAAAACCTGTTGTAGATTTGAAACAATGTCGCTGACAGAGAATGCCAAAGAGGGTGATGAGGCCTTGACCCATAGTGCTATTCTCACCTTAATAAGATCACAAAGCACCTCTTGGTTAGGTTGAGCCCCATTGAAGACACATTCATTTCGGAGTTTCCAAATGGACCAGAGAACAGCAAAAGGAATAGCCAACCAAATTTTGTTTTCCATTTTTTTCAGCCTGCAGCCAGACCACCAGTGCATAAGATCTGGCACAGAACCAGGTAGCACCCACTTGAGACCCTACCATCGTACAATGTTGGACCAGATCAGCCAAACAAAAGGGCAGAACAGGAGGATATGGTTCACAGATTCAGCTTCATTGTTGCAGAAATGACAGGCTTGGTTGACATTTGAACCCAAGACCCCAATTCTGCAGAGAAAGCTTGCAGTCTTTACCTTGCCATGCCAAGCTAACCAACCAAAGAATTGGGCTTTGGGAGGGACGCAGTTATTCCAAAGTATATTAGGGCAGCTCAGAGCATGACCAAGAGAAGATTCCCACCAATTATAAGCTGAGGACACAGTGAAAGAGTTTGAAGGGCCAACATTCCAAGATAAGATGTCAGGCTGGGAATTGCATGTATCAGGTGCAATTGTAAGAAAGTCATACAACCTAGACACCTCTTCTTCCTCCTAAGCCAGTAAGGCTCTTCTAAAACCAAGATTCCAATCTATAGGACTAACTCTTCTCTGATAATAGGCTTCAACCACACCCATCTTATCAATGGATAAGGAAAATAGCCTGGGAAATGCCTCCTTGAGGCAGACATTTCCTGCCCATTTATCCCACCAGAATAGAGCCCTCCTACCATCCCCCAACACAATGATGAAGTTATTGATATAAAAGTTATGAAGCACTGCGTTTGGTAAGGCAGGAGATAAGATATCAGTCCAGATTTTGGAATCGTTGCCACCCGAACTAGGAGTCCAGCTGCCATCCCTCAAGCTATACTTGTTACATATTACAGCTTTCCAAAGAGAGAGATTCTCAGTCCCAAATCGCCACCACCATTTCAGAAGAAGACAATCGTTCATAATATTGATTCTTCTCACCCCTAAGCCCCCAAAGCTTTTGTTTCGCGTGACCACATCCCACTTGACCAAATGCACCTTCCTTCTTAAATCGGATCCACCCCAAAGGAAAGAGGATTGCAATTTCTCTATCTCCTTAGCCACTCCAATAGGTGCTCTAAACAGGGAGAGATAATATGTTGGTAAGCTGGACATGACAGATTTGATTAAGGTCAACCTTCCAGCAAATGAGAGCAGTCTCCTCTTCCATGAGGCTAGTTTCAACTTGAGCTTCTCAAGAACAGGTTTCCAGGTGCTTTTTCGGCCTGGATTTGCTCCCAAGAGCAGCCCTAAGTACTTAAGAGAAAGTTTATGATACAGACAATTAAGTCGACTAGCAAAGTTATGTAACAATCCCTCTTCAACCCCAACACCACTGATTACACTCTTATGATAATTAATTTTTAGACCCGAGAGCAGCTCAAAGCATCATAAAATTCTTTTGATATTCACCACTTCCTCCCAGTTAGCTTCACAAAACAAGATAGTATCATCCGCAAATTGTAGATGGGATATAGAGAATCCAGATGTTCCCACTTGAGCTCCTTTTAAAAGTCCTAGCACTTTTGCTTTAGACAACAAAATATTCAGGGCCTCAGCTACTATGTTGAAGAGGAAAGGTGACAAGGGATCGCCCTGTCTTAGACCCCTTTGGGGATGGAATTCAGGGGTTGGTGAACCATTGACCAGGACTGAAATCTTAGCAGAAGATACACAAGCTTTGATCCATTTGATCCACTTGTTGCCGAACCCAAAGTTGGATAGCATGGAAAATAAGAAGGCCCAATTAACGGAATCAAACGCTTTTTCAAAGTCTAACTTGAGAATAAGGCCTTTGCTTTTCGATTTCCTCCACCCATCAACAATCTCATTTGCAATCAGAACCCCATCAAGTATATTCCGGCCACCCACAAAAACTGACTGAACCTCACCAATGATCCTAGGCATAACCAATTTCAATCTATTAGATAACACCTTGGCAAGAATTTTGTATAGAGAGCGAATCAAACTAATAGGCCTATACTCATTCAGAGAAGAGGGGCTATCTGTTTTTGGAATCAAGGCAATGAATGAGCTATTAATTCCTCCAACAAAACATGCATTGCGATGAAACTCATACATGAAATTGACCACATCGGATTTCATAATGTTCCAATATTTCTTAAAGAATGCCAAATTAAAGCCGTCAGGCCCAGGGGCTTTATTACCCTCACAAGTCCTGATAACATAGCTGATTTCCTCCTCAGTGAATTCACCCTCTAAGTGGGCTATAGCTTGTGCACCACCAATGTTCTTAAAAGGGCCAGATAATTTGGGTCTGGAGCCCCAAGGTTCAGAAAAAAACCTGAAGAAGTGATCAAAAACTGCAGCTCGAACCTCTCTAGGCTCCTCCATCTGAGAGCCATTCACAAGCAAAGAGCCCAAGGTGTTCCTACTATTTCTACTGCAGGCCATGATGT